TATGCTATTCGAAGAAAGTTACGTACGGAAAACACCGTGATTTGCCTAAAACTGTCTCTCTGTGCATAATAAATCGAATCTAATGCGGTCTGCACAAGCAAGTCTTGCCCTCGGATACGCCACGCACGCGCCTGTGGCTGGCATTTGGAAGTCTATTTCATCTTGCTATGACCCGGACTTGCTCAGTTTTTGGCACTGCTACCACGCTCTGATGCGACGAAGCGAGCTCTCCCTAAAAGCTTTGCTGAAGACAGAAAGATTTTTTACGATGTATAGTAATTCACGCGGAGAAACACTTCAGGACGAAACGGGCGAGCCTGGAAAGAATAATTATGAGTTTATGACAACTTCATGTTCTTTGTGAGCGTTCCTCCCCAGCCCTTCATCCACCGATCAACTACCGTCGCGATTTCGGTTGCGGGTCCTTGAAATTGCGACCCCTCCCTCGGCCCATGACCAAAATGCGACCCCCTCGTTCGAATAGTGCGGACGGATGGTTGACCATGCTGTGCACTGGATACCCCATCATGTCGGATGAGACCCCCTTCTAAACCACTTCTTCGGTTTCTAAGCAATGGGCTTAATGTCATCAAAAATTGTCTAAATAGGCCATCACTTTACTCCCTTTCAAAAAACGAGAAGAGCGTCGGGTGCAGACCATACACCACAAGTGACGACGGCCTCCACAAAATGTAAATGTTTTCTGCCAATGAAATGATTAGCCTGTTGCAGTTGTATTCTATCAGTTGTCACTAATTACAACTATCATTTACCAAAATCAGCTATCACTATGAACCACTACTAACCAGATTTACTTGGAGGCCGTCGTCACTTACGATATGTTATTTGTCTGAGCTCAAACGCCCATGATGATGCTCTGCCATCAAATGGGAATCTCCAGCTTGCCAGCTTGTGCTGCGCATCCATGTACGAAGCATTCTTCATCTTCTCTCGTGTCGTGTGCTTACTTGATTGAATGGGACACCGATTGACCCCTTTCAAAACCAGAAAGGTCATTTTAGCGCGAAACTCGAATAGCAGTCGAGGACAAATTCGAGACGCTACGGGCTAGTTCTAAAGTTTTGAGCTGGTGGAGATCGAGGACGCTTCAGTTTTCAGAGCTTAGCATCAGCATTCTGAATCTGCTTTCAACATACGAAGACGCACGAGCGAGTTGACGTGCGATTTCGCAATGGAAGGTTCAGCAACATGAGGATCCCATATCTGTGCTTGGTCTTCTTTAGAAAAATGCTTGCCGTGAAGAGGAATGATGCCAGAATAAGTAACGAAAGGAGAAGTAAAAATAGGTTAGGAAATCGATGCAAAAACTTCATCTGCCTCAGGGTGTCCACATAATTTTGATACAAAGAAAAAACTTTCCATGAAAAATAGTTCGCTAAATTAGAACGAAATCTTTTGCCGAAAATGTCACTGTAGGTTATCGACCACAAGGAGTTTATGTTGAGGCTTCATGGCGGAAAAACCAAAGTCTATTCCAGGGTGTCCACATATTTTGCTACGCACTGCGTAATAGAAACGGGGAAAATTCCCGAAACTTTGTGGCATGCTTCTAAAATACCCATGATACTCTCATGATTTTTGAAAATGTTCACATAAAAAATTCCCAGAAACTCGAAATGTTACCAATAAGTCACTGCACTCTAATAAAAAATTCCCCCTTCTGGAAATGCATCATAAAGTCTACTCAATAACGTCTTCTTCGAAAGACGGTGGACGAACACTACTGAGGAATCCTCGATTATGGCTCATTATTTGCAAATGGACCGCAGGGTACGTAATAGGGTAACATTCCTTTCAAATTAAGAGCAAAATCAATGGCTTTTTGAAAACTTGCTTGGTACAGATCCGGTGTTAATAAAATACAGGGTGGCCACAAACTACGGTAACAAGAG